TTCAGTACTCTGCTAAAGATGTCAAAGTAGCAGTTTGTGGGATATGAAAAAAAATGTTTTTTTTTAGGTTTTATTACGCATGTGCTTGCAACACTAAATGAGCACTACTTTATTATCACTCTGATGTCAATAATTTCGTTATATACTCTGCTAAAGATGTCAAAGAAGCAGTTTATGATATTAAAAAGAAAAAAATATTTTCCCAAATATTTTTGCGCATATCGACAACACTAAATGAGTACTAAATTATTGATGCTTCTATTTGGTGCTGTATAAAGCAGTTATCGGTTTAGGTGTTAGAACACTGCTAGCTAAAAATGCTAAAAATTAGAAAGCTGCTAGAACAAGCTAGCAGTTTTCTAATTTTTGATCAAGCTATTTTGGCGTGAAATTTAATTTTGCAGCACTAAATTACCACTAAATGAGCACTAAATATTTAGCAAAAATTTTAGTAATTTTACCCAAATCACCATTCCAGCTTTATAGACGTACTCTTATTATATAGTGAAAACTTGTAAATCGCCTTCATTTTTGTTATAATCATATTATTTTTGTAAATTAGCTGTAAATTTTCCAGCAAATAAAAATATAATAAAATAAAAATTAGGTGTTTTCGAAATGACAGGTATGTTGACATCATTACAGCCCTTCACAAGTCCACTGCTGAACATACCACCACCACATGCCACTTGCATCCATCGACTTCCTGCATATCTTACCAGGTCATCACTCAATCTAGTGGGGGGACGCCCTACACTTCGTCCGCCGGTACGAGGCCGCCACTCGAGAACCTTTTTTCCCCATCGGTTGTCGGTTCTTAGAGCTATATGGTCGGCCTATTGCCACTTCAGCTTACTAATCCGTTGGACTATGTCGGTCACTCTGGTTCTAATGCGGAAATCCTCATTTCTAAGTTTATCACGCAGAGAAACTCCGAGCATAGCTCTCTCCATAGCTCGCTGAGCGACCTTGAGCCTCCTCATCCGGCCAGCAGTGAAGGACCACGTCTCAGTATCATAGGTCATCACTAGCAACACGCACTGGTTGTACAGTCTCGTATTTAAGTTTTGAGGTATACCTGACGAAATGTGCCGTAATTTCCCGAACGCTGCCCAATCGAGCTGAATCCGTCGATTGACTTCTCGGTCGAAGTTGGACTTACCTAGTCGGACTATTTGTCCCAGGTAAACATACTCGTCAACAACTTCGAGCTTAGTGCTCCCAACAACTACCGGCATAGGTGTGACATGGACATTTTTTTGTCCATGTTCATCTTAAGACCTATCAGTTAGGAAACACTATTGAGGTCATTGAAATTGGTCTGTAGTTCTTCAAGAGAGCGTTGTCACCTTTCTTGAAGAACAAGACCGTGCGGTGGTCTTGTTCTACTCAACGTCTCGGTGTAATGTCACCATGGAGGACGCAATTAATGAGCTTCTGAAGGACATCAAGTACCGGTTTTCCACCCGCTTTCAGAAGCTCCGCTGGAATTCCATCCTCGCCTGGGGCCTTGCCGTTTTTAAGGTGCTGGAGAGCTATAATAATCTCGCTTAGATTGACGTCCGGGATATCATCAGAATGGTGTCGGATAAGACTCGCTCTTGGATCATTACTCACACTTACGTGTGGCTCCAGCGACGATGTGTACAGCTGCCCATAGAACCTCTCAATCTCACTCAAAATCTCAGGTGTCCTGGAAACGACGCTGCCACGACGTATGTTGACGGAATGACAATAATTGTATTTTAGGGTATACAAATAATGTTCAGCAATGGATGAATGGAAAAGTAAATTAAGTTACAGTTTAGTGAATTTTAATTCAAAATATTGATGCTTGACACACAAGCCGCTTTCTGAAGGCTTTGCTTGAAGTAAAATACCAGCGTAAAATAGCAACTTAATGTTGCTGTGTTTCGTATGGTGAGTGTAGAGGACCCGAGACCCTTTTTACTAGAAACGAAGCATTCCATCTTAATCCTCAGGGGTGACAACGTTCCCGTATTTTGATTCTTAATAGAGGATAAATATACAAGTTTATGGACTACAGCATCCACTTACCATCAGGTGGACTGTGTGCTCGTATGTCACAATTATAATATATAAAAAATGCGCTTTTGTTTCCTAATAACATATCTTTGTAAACAGTCACTGTTGTCTGGACACATTCGACTCACGTCATCTCGTTCGATGAAATTTATGACTTTTTGACGAACTTCTGACATCAAAACAACAAACGTAGTACGACTACAACGGATTAACATTTCTTGGATTCGCTTCGGATGCAGTGTGCAAACCCTGGGCTCTATCGAAATATTCTTCAGTCTAGATCTGATAAGTTTAAAATAATTTCCACCGATCGACTGGTGTGCACTAGGAGAAAATGAAACATTAAAAACTTTATGGTTTGACTAGTCAATATCTGTCTACAACAAACACTAGGTATATTATAATATCTCTGGGCAGGGGCTCCCCAGTGCCAGCTCCTTCCACTTGACCGCATCCAGCGCAGAGCGGCTCGAATCGTCGACGACCGAGCCCTTTCCGATCGGCTCGATTCATTGGCACTGCGAAGAGATGTTGCATCCCTTTGCATTTTCTTTCGCATCTACCACGGGGAGTGCTCTGAGGAATTGTTCGGATTAATCCCAGCCGCCAAATTTCACGAACGCACATCGCGGCAGAACTCCCGATACCATCCACACCATCTGGATGATTGGCAGTCCACCACTGTGCGATTTAGAAGATGTTTTCTTCCTCGCACGACTTCCTTGTGGAATCGATTACCATCAGCGTTATTTCCGGACCGATACGACTTAGGGACCTTCAAGAAAAGAGCGTACTCCATTTTAAAAGGCCGGCAACGCATCTGCGATTCCCTCCCTGGTGTTGCAGTTGTTCATGGGCGGCGGTAGTCACTTACCATCAGGTGAGCCGCATGCTCGTTTGCCCCCTCTCCTATAAAAAAAAATATTTAAAATGAACCTCTTCCACTTATAACTCAAAACTCAAATGAATTACGGAAAGTATAATTTAAATTTTAAAACAATTTCTAAACATATTTTAAATAGAATACAAATAAGAAATAAAATGTTTACAGATCCAATATTTTACTTGGGAGAAATTTTCAAGAAAGAAGAACTTTTAACTATTTGAATGTTTGCGCCTGCATATAGAATTTGTACGAAAGCTACATGGAATCTTTTGTTGGACTTTTTGAAACATGGGAATGTGTTACATGTGCATTTTGTTCAGTTTTTTTTTTACAAATTACCCATATACCCACTGACAAAATATTGACGGAAGCCAAATAGACGGTTATAACAGATTAATAACATTAACCGCATGAAATACCTAGTGTGGTCATAAGTTTTGATACATATTGAAAATAAACTTAAAAAAAAAGCTACTTTAAAAATCTAAAAAGAATATAACCGATCTCCACATAATAGCTTCTGAATTCGGCGCGGTGAAATTATTTTATTGTTTTGTAGTATATGTGCCTCCACCTTACTAGTAGTGTAAGAAATACATGTACTCTTAAGTTTATTAATCAGTTTAATCAAAGTTATAGAAGCATAACACGTCTCTATTTCATTGACACATTTCATATATTACAGTTTTAACTTATTGAAGTCGGTTTTCATCGGTCGGTTTATTTATTGCGTTAAATATATTGTTACGAGCTTGGGGTTCGAGACAATTAAAAACTGCCGATTAAATTACCAAAATTGACACTTTAATTACACAACACTAATTACAATCTAAAATCACACTAATAATAAAACACAGTTCGCCGTTATTTCGCTTCGAAGTATTCTCTTGTATCGCCAATTCAATACTGCCTCGGTCGTGGTCTATACCGGCCTTATATAGGGCCTCAGATAGTTTCCAGAATCTTCTACTGTAGCGACATCTAGAATGTTCGAGTACATATCGGTTCCGAAATTTCTGGAAGGATCTTGACTCTCCTAGTTCTGCTACTCGACACTAGAGGGCGCTAGTGTAACTAGTGTTGCCATGTACAATACATTAATAGTGGCGCGCAATACTTTCATTTACTCGACACTAGAGGGCACTAGTGTAACTAGTGTTGCCATGTACAAGACATTAATAGTGGCGCGCAACACTGCCCCCTCCTAAGACATGCTCGTCCCGAGCATTATTGGCCCCATAATAACGCGCCAGTCGATCCACATGGACAATCTTAGGAGTACCTCTGGCACCTTTCTGTATCCGGTAGGTTACATCATTGATCCTTGTCACAATCCGGTACGGTCCGTCCCATTTAGCTTGAAGCTTAGGAGATTTCCCTTTGCTGCGAACTGGATTGTGTAACCACACTAGTGAACCTTTATCAAACCCCTTGTTGTTCATTTTGCGGTCATACCGTGTTTTCATCTTCTCAGACGTTTGCTGGCCCGTCTGTCTGACGTGCTCATAAATGTCATTCATTTTGTTCCGCAAGTCATTTGCATAATCGGTTATACTGCGTGGGGCATCAAGTGGTATTCCGGTGATCAGGTCTGCAGGCAGCCGTAATTCTCTCCCAAAGTTTGCGAAAGCTGGCGTCACTGACGTACTTTCGTGAACAGCGCTTCGATATGACAAAAAAACGGTTGTATGTGCCTGTCCCAGTCTCGTTGCCGTTTTTCCACAACTTTTGCCAGGTACCTTTCCAATGTCTGATTAAATCGTTCTACCATTCCATCAGATTGTGGGTGGTAAGAAGTTGTTCGTGTTTTATGAGTACCCATAACTCTGCAAGTTTCCTGGAATATTTGAGACTCGAAATTTCTTCCTTGATCGCTGTGAATCTCTAAAGGTACTCCAAAACGACAGAAGACTTCTTGAACTAGTTTATCTGCAATTGTTGAAGCTTCTTGATTTGGAATGGCGAAGACTTCTGGCCACTTAGTGAAGTAATCCATCACAACCATGAAATACTTGTTACCACTTTCACTTTCCGGAAACGGCCCCGCAACGTCAATGGCTATCCTCTCTCATGGTGCACCAACATTGTACAATTTCAATGCGCCTCTACTACGAATTTGAGGTCCCTTTACAGCCGCACAACTTGTACATTTGCGGCACCAGTCCTCGACATCGTCGCGACAGTGGACCCAGTAAAACCGTTCTCGGATTTTCAGTAGAGTTCGTTTAACTCCCAGGTGGCCTCCTGAACAACCACTATGGTACAGCTGTAGAACATCCGGTACTTTAGCCTTAGGAACAACCATTTGCAAATGACAACTGTTTCCCCGACCATTTTCCCATTTACGGCACAGGACTCCATCCTGAATCAGCAAGCTGTCCCATTGGGCCCAATAGCTTTTCGTGGTCGAACTCATTGCTGAGACGTCGCTCCACTTGGGCTTAGGAGCACTGGCCTTCATCCATTCCAGAATCGGCTTAATATCCGAATCTTCCTGCTGTGCATGTTGTAGGCTGTCCTTCCACTCATTGCTGAGCTGGTCTGTCCTGAGCATCCTCACAGATACCACTTCCTTACCCTCTTGCCTAGTACAATGCTTGCAATCTTCAGGGCAAGGTCTTCTTGACAATGCATCTGCATTGCCATGAGATTTCCCGCTGCGATGTTCGATCACAAAGTCGTATTCCTGTAGTAGTTCAATCCATCTCGCAACTTGTCCTTCCGGATTTTTGAACTGCAATAGCCATTTCAGTGCAGCATGGTCAGTTCGTAAGTGGAATTTCCGCCCCAGAAGATATTTGCTAAAATGCTGCAAGGACTTTACCACAGCAAGCAATTCCCGTCTTGTGACACAATAGTTCCTTTCCGGCTTTGACAACGACTTGCTGAAGTACGCTATCACAATCTCTTGATCACCATTCCGTTGAGACAACACACCGCCAAGTCCTATATCACTTGCGTCTGTGTCAACTATGAATTCCTTGCCCGCATCAGGGTACCCCAAAATAGGTGTTTTTGACGGTTCTTGAGCTCCTGGAATGCAATATTGCAACTTTCATCCCAGCAGAAATGTCGCTTCTCCTCGGATAGCTTGTGCAGAGGTTTGGCTATATCTGCAAAGTTCTTCACAAATCGCCGATAGTAAGAGCACAAACCCAAAAATGCTCTAACCTGTGTCTTGTCTTTTAGAATCGGCCACTCCTTGACAGCGGCAACTTTCTCTGGATCCGTGCGGATACCTTCTTCCGACACTACATACCCCAAAAAACTAACTTGCCGTTTGAATAGTGAGCACTTCTTCGGACTCAACTTGAGGTTGGCACTCTGGATCTTCATGAACACGCGTTCCAGGTTTTGAAGGTGTTCCTCAAACGTACGGCCTACGATGATGATGTCATCCAAATAGACCAGACAGGCATCTCCAATTAGCCCGGTAAGTACAAGCTCCATCAACCTTTCAAACGTTGCTGGAGCATTGCACAATCCAAACGGCATGACTTTAAATTGCCACAGACCCTTTCCTGTGGAGAATGCAGTTTTCTCCTTGTCCTTAGGGTCAATTTCAACCTGCCAGTAGCCACGTTTCAGGTCCAGCGTACTAAACCACTTTACGCCTGTGAGCATGTCCAGCGTGTCATCAATTCTAGGCAAGGGATATCTGTCCTTCTTCGTAACGTCGTTCAGGCGGCGGTAGTCAACACAAAACCGCATGCTGCCGTCCTTCTTCTTTACCAGCACCACAGGTGAACACCATGGACTAGATGAAGGTTCAATAACACCATCCTTCACCATTCCCTCAATCATGGTTTCCACTTCCTTTTCACGTGCTACAGGCAATCTTCTTGGCCGCTGACGAATAGGCAATTCTTGTCCTGTGTTTATTTTGTGTTGAACTAAGCCAGTCTTTCCTATGTCAGCTTCGTTTGACGAGAAAACATTGGCGTACTTGAGTAACAACTTCTTCGCCTTGACCATTTCATTCGGGGAGAGAACGCTGCGACAGTCTTCTAAAAGTGTGGTCACTCTCGTTTGTCCATCCTTGCTGGGGGTTCCAGTCGATAGATATTCGCACTGACGCAACCAATCCACTTCCTCACTAGTACCAACCAATGTGCCTTTTTCAATAATCTGTTCCTGATCACAAAGGATCAACACACGTACTCCTGAGATGTCGGTGGTTCTGACCAAGGTTCGAGCCACTTTCCATGGAAGGTCATTGTCTACTCTTTCCACGAGTACACAACGATGAGCTTGCCCAGGACTCCGAGGAAGACTAACCGGCACAATCGTTTCCGATCTCGGCGGAAGAACAATCTTCTTAAGGCTGTACACATTCCCTGGTAACGCCCCTTCCACGAAAAGTTCCTCTTGTCCACATTTCAAAACACCTTGCTTAACGTCGATCTCACAACAATTCTTCCTCATAAAGTCTAGGCCCAGGATGCAGTCGTCCATTATATCAGCCACGATGACATTATGCAGGTAGATCATGTTGCCTAGCTTCAACTCCATCTCCTTCTCTCCACGGACGGGTATGCGCTGACCGGTGGCTGTTACCAAATTAATGCGTTCGCGGTTGTATGCGGAGTCCCCAAGAAACTGATTTATAAGTTGGGAACTGACAACCGTGCGAGAAGCTCCAGTGTCTATGGTCAGTTTACACGGCGTTCCGTTGACTTCGCCCTTGATGATTAGGCTGTTCCCATCATGGGTTTGTGAGATCGAAATCCTTGGGGCTCTTTTAACATCAGCCAGCACCCGCCCCGCAGTCCTGGCTTTTACTCGTTTCCCTGCTGCTGTTGGGCGGTGCTATTAGCCGCACTACCCTCTCGAGATCGATCACCTTCCCTTTCTACAGTTCGCTTAGGGCAGCTGGATCGAAGGTGGCCCTTTTCCCCACAGCCGTAGCACCTAGGGCTGTAGCTTTTATTGCGGTCCTGAACTGTAGTGGCGGTCAAGAATATCCACTACCCCATATCCTCCCGTGGGTGTCGTAAAAGGCGACAAAGGGAAACAGCCAGGAGATGGGCAGCAGCATCTTCCTGATAATAGCCAAATGACAATAAAAAAACTGCGGTTGCCAACCCGCTCGCCAAGCGTGGCAACTATGGCAAATACCCCCCAATGATGAGAGCAACAAAAAAACGGCCCCCAGTCCCCGGCGGCCCCGCTATTCCTGGCTACGGTGGCGACCATGGTAACGGCGGGGCAGGGGGTGCTAAGAATCTCCGGTGGAGGTTCGGTTGCCACCTTAGACGACTCGACCTGGCAACGTACAACGCACGCACCCTGAGGACTGACGAGAAGATCGTGGAGCTGGAAGAAGAGATAGACAAGTTGCGCTGGCATATTATAGGATTATCTGAAGTCCGAAGAGAGGGGGAGGACACGGTAATACTCGAATCCGGCAACTTGCTCTATCACCGGGAGGGCGACCATCTGTCCCAAGGAGGTGTCGGATTTATCGTCCACAAGTCTCTCGTTAACAACGTTGTAAAAATCGGGAGTGTGTCGACGAGGGTTGCGTACCTTATACTCAGAATCACCAAACGGTATTCGCTGAAGGTCATACAGGCTTACGCACCAACCTCGGCACACCCCGATGAGGAGGTGGAGGAAATGTATGAGGATATCTCTAGAGCCATGCATTCCTCCAAAACCCAATATACGGTGTTAATGGGAGACTTCAATGCAAAACTAGGCACAAGAGAGAACGGTGAGCTGAAAGTAGGGAAATTTGGAATAGGGCAACGGAACCCAAGGGGCCAGCAGCTGGCCGACTTCATGGAGAAAGAGGGACTCTTTATGATGAACTCTTTCTTCCAGAATCGGCCCCACAGGAAGTGGACCTGGTCGAGCCCCGACGGTTCCACAAAAAATGAGATTGACTTCATTATGACGACCAGACGACAACTGTTCAGTGATGTCTCCGTGATCGCGAGGGTGAAAACTGGTAGCGATCACCGAATGGTTAGAGGCACACTGAACCTAAACGTTAAGTTGGAGAGGTCTCGTCTAATGAAGTCAACGCTCCGTCCCCCTCGTGCTCTGTTTCAAAGTCCCGAAACCTTTCAGCTCGAGTTACAAAACCGTTTTCAGTGCCTAGAAGACTGCAATGAAGTGGACGATATGAATGACAAGCTCGTGGAAACTGTCCATGCGGTTGGAGCTAAGTTCTGCAAGACCCGCCGCAGAAGAACACAAAAACTCTCCGATCACACTCTTAATCTCATGGCTGTTAGACGGGAGATGAAGCTACATTCTTCAACAGACTTGACAGCATACAGGCATCTGAACAGACAGATCTCCAAATGCATGCGGCGGGACTTACGCAACTTCAATACAGCTCGTATTGAAGAAGCGATCGAGCGGAACCAAGGCTCCAAAGTCTTTGCCAGAGATCTGTCTGCCAGAAAGAGCCAACTGTCAAAGCTGAAGACAGAATGTGGCAGCATCGTTTCCGGGACACCTGAGATTTTGAGTGAGATTGAGAGGTTCTATGGGCAGCTGTACACATCATCGTTGGAGCCACACGCAAGTGTGAGTAACGATCCAAGAGCGAGTCTCATCCGACACTATTCCGAAGATATCCCGGATGTCAGTCTGAGCGAGATTAGGATGGCTCTCCAGCACCTTAAAAACGGTAAGGCCCCAGGCGAGGATGGAATTACAGCGGAGCTTCTGAAAGCGGGTGGAAGACCGGTACTTGAAGTCCTTCAGAAGCTCTTTAATTCTGTCCTCCATGGTGGCATTACACCGGAGGCGTGGAGCAGAAGTGCGGTGGTCTTGTTCTTCAAGAAAGGTGACAACGCTCTCTTGAAGAACTACAGACCGATTTCCCTTCTGAGCCGCGTCTACGTGCTGTTTTCGAGAGTCATTACGAATCGTCTCGCGCGCAGACTTGACGACTTCCAGCCTCCCGAACAATCCGGTTTCCGAAAGGGCTTTAGCACCATAGACCACATACATACCCTTCGGCAAGTTGTACAGAAGTCCGAAGAGTACAATTTGCCACTATGTCTGGCGTATGTGGACTATGAGAAAGCCTTTGATTCCGTCGAAATTTGGGCGGTGCTGCAGTCCCTTCAGCGGTGCCAAGTTGACTGTCGGTATATCGAAGTGTTGAAGTGCTTGTACAGTAGGGCTACGATGGCTATCCGAGTACAGAACCAGAGTACGAAACCTATCCAATTGCAGAGAGGTGTAAAACAGGGTGACGTCATATCCCCGAAACTCTTCACCGCTGCATTGGAAGACGTTTTCAAGCTTCTGGACTGGAAAGGATACGGTATCAACATCAATGGCGAGTACATCACTCACCTTCGATTTGCCGACGATATAGTCCTTATGGCAGAATCGCTGGAGGACCTAAGCACTATGCTCAATGACCTCAATAGTTTTTCCCAACGGATAGGTCTTAAGATGAACATGGACAAAACTAAGATCATGTTTAATGTCCATGTCACACCTATGCCGATAGTTGTTGGGAACACTAAGCTCGAAGTTGTTGACGAGTATGTTTACCTGGGACAAATAGTCCGACTGGGTAAGTCCAACTTCGACCGAGAGGTCAATCGACGGATTCAACTCGGCTGGGCAGCGTTCGGGAAGCTACGACACATCTTCTCGTCAGACATACCTCAAAACCTTAAAACGAAATTGTACAACCAGTGCGTGTTGCCAGTGATGACTTACGGAACTTAGACGTGGTCCTTCACTGCTGGCCGTATGAGGAAGCTCAAGGTCGCTCAGCGAGCTATGGAGAGGGCTATGCTAGGAGTTTCTCTGCGTGATAAACTTAGGAATGAGGATATCCGCAGTAGAACCAGAGTGACCGACATAGCCCAACGGATTAGTAAGCTGAAGTGGCAGTGGGCCGGCCATATAGCTCGAAGAACCGACAACCGATGGGGAAGAAAGGTTCTCGAGTGGCAGCCTCGTACCGGTAGGCGAAGTGTAGGGCGTCCCCCCACGAGATGGAGTGACGACCTGGTAAGACATGCAGGAAGTCGATGGATGCAGGTGGCTCAGGACCGTGTTTTGTGGCATTCTTTGGGGGAGGCCTATGTTCAGCAGTGGACTTGTGAAGGGCTGTAATGATGATGATGAACTGTAGCTGCTGCAACCTCCCTGACGCGGTGGGAACGATGATCCTGCCGCACGGCTTCCACCTCCAGTGCATGGGTCAAGGCGTCCTTAAGCGTCTCGTGGTGCCCGAGCCTCACAGCAGCTCTGACTTCAAGGTCGCGGATGCCGTCGATGAATGTCTACACCAGGTTCCCTACAATAAGCGCAGGTACAGACTGGTACGCTTTTCGAACCAGCTTCTCCACCTCAAGGGCCCACTGCTGCAGGTTTTCATTACTGCGTTGCACGCGATCTTTGAGCTGCGCACGAAAGACGTGTTCCAGGTGAGCGTCGCCATATCTCGCCTCCAATGCCTCAAGGAGCTGCTCGTAATTCACTTCCTTACCGAGAGCTTCCAGAACAGTTAATGCCTGGTCGCGCAGGCCTAGGGTGAGAGCAGTCATGGCCTGACTTTTATTCCAGCCGTTCGCTTTCATGACAGCCTCGAACTGGATTTTATAGGCTGACCAGGAAGAAGTCCCGTCGAACGGTGGCACTTTGAATCCACGTAGCGAAGGTGTTGTAGCTACCACGGGAGCTGTAACTCCATCCCCAATTTTGAGGTCGTTCAGCGTTTTCTTCACGTCAGCCATCACATTGTCAACCCGATTGTACACTTGGTTGATTCGGGTTTCAGCTTCCGACAGGCGGTTGTCATATTGAGCAACCTTATCCTT